TTCTTGGGGCCTTCCGGAGGCCTCCTGGGCTCCTCCTGGGTGCTTCATCGGGCCAACCTGTCGTCAACCGCGGTCCATCTGATCGACGGGATCACGATGTGGCATGCCTCGGGGGGCGTCGTGGGGCCATCTTGGGCCGTCATGGGGCTCTCTTCGGGCCGTCTTGGGGCCTATTGGGCCGTATTGAGGTTCTCTTGGACTGTGGAAACCCTTTTGGGAATTTTGGGGCAACTTTCGGGCCTCCTGGGCGGTCTCAGACGACCGGAAGATAGAAGAACAGAGCATTCCCGACATCAGGTAAAACCCCGTGGGTCATCTTGTTCCCAACGATCCTGCGGTGTTGGGTCCACGTTTCGAAGAGACAGCGCCCCGCGTTCCTCTCGTCTCCTCTCTTCCTCCCCCTCCTGCCTTTCCTCTATCCTCTCATCCCTTGCACCCCTCACACGTCTCGTGGCCCTATAGGGAGCTCCACCGAAGACCGCAGTGGCGCCGCCCGCATACGTCTGACCCACACATTTCGGCACACCCCTCACGAGCGTCGTGGCCCCATCGGCCATAGGGGGCTCCACCGAAGGTCCCAGGAGCGCCGCCCGCATGCGTCCAACCCCCCATGTCGGCACACCTCTCACGAGGATCGTGGCCCCATAGGGAGCTTCACCGAAGGTCCCAGGGGCGCCGACCGCATGCGTACGACCCACCTTTTTCGGCGCACCCCTCACGAGGATCGCGGCCCAGTAGGGGGCTCCACCGAAGGTCCCAGGGGCGCCGCCCGCATGCATCCGACGCTTCCATTTCGGCACACCCCTCACGAGGATCGCGGCCCCGTATGGGGGCTCCAAGGGGCGCTGCCCACATGCATCCGACCCACACATTTCAACACACCCCTCACGAGGATCGTGGCTTTATAAGGAGCTCCACCGAAGGTCTCAGAGGCGCCGCCCGCGTGCGTCCGACCCACCTTTTTCGGCACACCCCTCACGAGGATCACGGCCCCATGTGGGGGCTCCACCGAAGGTCCCAGGGGCGCAGCCCGCATGCGTCCGACACACCCATATGGGCATACCCCTCACGAGAATCGTGGCCCCGTAGGGGGCTCCACTGAAGGTCCCGAGGGCGCCGACCGCATGCGTCCGACACACCCATTTTGGCACACCCCTCCCGAGGATCGTGGGCTCCACCGAAGGTCCCGAGGGCGCCGCCCGCATGCGTCCGACCAGCCCATTGCGGCACACCCCTCCCGAGGATCGTGGCGCCATATATTGGGAGCTCCACCGAAGGTCCCAGGGGCACCGTCCGACCCACCCATTTCACCACACCCCTGACAAGGACCGTGGCCTCATAGGGAGCATTTCTGGAGGTCCAAGGGGCGCCGCCAGCATGCCACACCTATGTCGGCACACACACACACACACACACACACACACACACACACACACCTACACCTCACAGGCTTCGCGGCCCCATATGGAGCTCCGCCGAAGGCCCCTGCGGCCGTCCTCGCGCGCGCCTCCCCCGCCCATTTCTGCTCACACCTGCACATGGTTGGGTCCTTCGCCAGGGTAATGTGCTGCGTTTCGAAAGCGTCTTGTCTTTGGGTCGTCCCTGGGCATCTGGTGGGTGTCAGGGGTCTCTTGGGTCTCTCTCGGGGCTGTTCGGCCGCCCTCCTGACCCATGTTGGCCCGTTGCCTAAGCCAAGCAGGGGCTTCCAGGAGCACCGCAAAACCCGGGGTACCTTCTGCTGGGGCGTCCAGGGGCCCTCTAGAGCCACGAATCCGAAAGATCCCGTTTTTGCGACCAGGGTTTCCACCCCCCCGATTGCAAATGAAGGAAGTATTGTATTACATATCCGCCGGCCCTCTTGTTGGGCCACCAGGCTGTAGGGTGAGGTTGCTGCACCCTGCGCCAGTTTCAATTTCAAGTATCCAATGTAAAAGTCCTGCTTTCTGCTTCCTCCTGTAAGCTATTGAAATCCGCGGGAGAGGGGGAGCCCCAAACTGGCAATTTACCACCCTCGGATCGCATGCTCTGAATTCCCGGGGGGACGTGGGACATGCAAATATACTTGAGATTCGCGCCCCCGAGGCCATAATCCTCTGTAAAATAAAAAATGCTCGCGTCCCCTAGGCCCGCGACCCCGAAGCCATAAACCTTGCAAATTACGCGATATTCACACTGCCGAGGCCAAGGGTGGTGCTCCAAGGTGCCCGAAAATCATTCCCAAATGGCCTAGGACGGCCCCAATAGGCCCCAAGAGCGCTCCAAGAGGACTCCCGGGAGAGCCCCGAGAGGCCAGAATCGTCGATGTTACTTGAAGAGTTTTGAAGGATTTGGGCCTTCTATCATTTTCGGCTTTCCGACGCTCCAAGACGGCTCAAGAAGCTCCCAATACCGCCCAAAGACAGCCCAAGAGGCCTCCACGGACGGCCCAAGAAGGCTCCAAGATTGCCCAAGAAGCGCTCAAGACGGCCTCAGAGGGCCCCAAAATGGTCCCAAGAGGGGCCCAAGCAGGGGACCACAAACCGACAATTCTAAATTTGCACCCCGAGAAGCCCCCAGGAGGTCCCAAAAGGCAACCAAGAGGCCCCAAGAGGCACCCAAGACGCGCCCAAGACGCCTCCAAGAAGCCAAAATTATCCCGGCAAAGCAACCTAACAACGATGTGTAGGAGCATATCTGGAAGCATTCCCCTTAAGATTCAGATAAGAATCCTGTTGTAGAATTCTGCTGTTCTCGCAGTCGTGGTCGCATTCGCGATGGCAGTCGCAGTGGCAACAGCAGTCGCAGTCACAGCCTCAGCCTCAGCCTGCCTCAGCCTCAGCCTCAGCCTGCCTCAGCCTCAGCCTGCCTCAGCCTCGCCCTCAGCCTGCTTCAGCCTCAACATCAGTCTGCCTTCAGCCTCGGCCTCAGCCTGCCTCAGCCTCACCCTCAGCCTGCATCAGCCTCAGCCTGCCTCAGCCTCGCCCTCAGCCTGCTTCAGCCTCAACATCAGTCTGCCTTCAGCCTCGGCCTCAGCCTGCCTCAGCCTCACCCTGCATCAGCCTCAGCCTCAGCCTCAGCCTGCCTCAGCATCAGCCTGCCTCAGCCTCAGCCTCAGCCTGCCTGCCTCAGCCTCAGCCTGCTTCAGCCTCAGCCTCAGTCTGCCTCAGCCTCGGCCTCAGCCTCAGCCTGCCTCAGCCTCAGCCTGCATCAGCCTCAGCCTCAGCCTCAGCCTGCCTCAGCATCAGCCTGCCTCAGCCTCAGCCACAGCCTGCCTCAGCCTCAGCCTCAGCCTGCTTCAGCCTCAGCCTAGTTGCCTGCCTTCAGCCTCGGCCTCAGCCTCAGCCTGCCTCAGCCTCAGCCTGCATCAGCCTCAGCCTCAGCCTCAGCCTGCCTGCCTCAAGCCTGCCTCAGCCTCAGCCTCAGCCTGCCTCAGCCTCAGCCTCAGCCTGCTTCAGCCTCAGCCTCAGTCTGCCTTCAGCCTCGGCCTCAGCCTCAGCCTGCCTCAGCCTCAGCCTGCATCAGCCTCAGCCTCAGCCTCAGCCTGCCTCAGCATCAGCCTGCCTCAGCCTCAGCCTCAGCCTGCCTCAGCCTCAGCCTCAGCCTGCTTCAGCCTCAGCATCAGTCTGCCTTCAGCCTCGGCCTCAGCCTCAGCCTGCCTCAGCCTCCGCCTGCATCAGCCTCAGCCTCAGCCTCAGCCTGCCTCAGCATCAGCCTGCCTCAGCCTCAGCCTCAGCCTGCCTCAGCCTCAGCCTCAGCCTGCTTCAGCCTCAGCCTCAGTCTGCCTTCAGCCTCGGCCTCAGCCTCAGCCTGCCTCAGCCTCAGCCTGCATCAGCCTCAGCCTCAGCCTCAGCCTGCCTCAGCATCAGCCTGCCTCAGCCTCAGCCTCAGCCTGCCTCAGCCTCAGCCTCAGCCTGCTTCAGCCTCAGCCTCAGTCTGCCTTCAGCCTGGCCTCAGCCTTAGCCTGCCTCAGCCTCAGCCTGCTCAGCCTCAGCCTCAGCCTCAGAGCTGCCTCAGCCTCAGCCTCAGCCTGCCTCAGCCTCAGCCTCAGCCTGCTTCAGCCTCAGCCTCAGTCTGCCTTCAGCCTGGCCTCAGCCTCAGCCTGCCTCAGCCTCAGCCTGCCTCAGCCTCAGCCTCAGCCTCAGCCTCAGCCTGCCTCAGCATCAGCCTGCCTCAGCCTCAGCCTCAGCCTGCCTCAGCCTCAGCCTCAGCCTGCTTCAGCTTCAGCCTCAGTCTGCCTTCAGCCTCGTCCTCAGCTTCAGTCTGCCTTCAGCCTCAGCCTGCCTCAGCCTCAGCATCAGCCTGCCTCAGCATTCAAAGTGTGGCCCGGGAATGGAGTTCTGGGAACTCGAAGAACACGAAATGGCCTACAGTTCGCTCCGGGCATTCAAAATCATGCCCAGGAATGGAGTTCTGGGAACTCGAACACCACGAAGTGGCCTACAGTTGGCTCCGGGCATTCAAAATCGTGCCCAGGAATGGAGTTCTGGGAACTCGAAGACCACGAAGTGGCCTACAGTTGGCTCCGGGCATTCAAAATGTGGCCCGGGAATGGAGTTCTGGGAACTCGAAGAGCACGAAGTGGCCTACAGTTGGCTCCGGGCATTCAGAATGTGGCCCGGGAATGGAGTTCTGGGAGGTCGAAGAGCACGAAGTGTGTGACTGTATGCAAAAAACGATCCCCCCCAGAAAACCCCAACGGCTCCCCAACGGCTGCCCAGACCCCCCTGTGGAGTAATGTGCTGCTCTCTTTTTAGACCACTAGAAACCTACCAGTCTTCGCTGTTAGGTAATTATCCCGGCAAAGCAACCTAACAGCGATGTGTAGAAACATATCTGAAAGCATTCCCCTTAAGACTCAGATGAAAATCCAGTTGTCGAATTCTGCTGTTCTCGCAGTCGTAGTCGCATTCGCGATGACAGTCGCAGCGGCAACGGCAGTCGCAGTCACAGCCTCAGCCTCAGCCTGCCTCCTCCTCCTCCTCCTCTTTCTCCTGCTCCTCCTCCTCCTCCTCCTCCTCCTC